CCTTTCATTTTTATTCTGTACAATGTAATTGTAATGAATTACAGTATTCCACTATTTATATTCTCAACATACACTTTCACAGAAGTTCCCTGTCATTCCGCATTAGTTAACAGATGCTACAATGTCTGATCTTAAAGATTTCACGGCCCCTGTGTATTTTTCCCATTACTCGGGCAGCTAGGTCCCCCCCCCCCATTGGTTATTTCCTCTATGGGAATAAAGGCCTTTCTGCATAAGCATTAACTCTTTCCTGGTTCCACGTGCTGGAGCGTCATGTACAGTAAACAAAGCAAAGGACACACTTGCCTGAAGACACGCTCATTCCTACTCACATACGAATTTAATGGTTAGTCAGTTATTCAGTTAGCTTTTTATGAAATGTTAACAAAATTTAAAAAATGATTTTCACTGCAATTACTTTTCTATCAAGCAACTGTTTTCAGGAAAAGATGCTAGGCAACTTCTGCAGCATTATTTTCTACCAGGAGAGACGTATAACTCATACAACGCTGTATGTTTACCTGCAGGTCATGATCTACCTGGGGTGCAGAGGCTGCTAAATATTTTACCTTAGGATATCAGTTCAATTTGTTTTTAATGGAATGAAATGCCCTTGGTTTCCTTCCTCCATGGGTTCCTGAAGAAGGTGACGTGTCTTCTGTCTAATGACAGAACTCATCCAGAAAACATGGTTTTGTGCAAAAGTCTCCTTTTGATTAAGTTCTGTAACCATGGCAATTCACTAAGTCTGGTTTATTTTAACAGAATGCCAGGGAGTTTTAGATTTGGTGGTGATTTACAGTTTGCAGGTATTTGTTATAATAAATGGGCATTTATTTTAAGGACAGGCAAATATGAAGTGCCATCTTGAATTCAGGGGATGGGCCTTTCCAAACCAAGATTTGCTCTAAGGGTTTCTTGACTGTGATAAAAAAAAAAAAGTGGGTACCGTTATATTTGCATATTTAACCATATGGCTTGATTAAAATATCACTAGACTACACTTTTTAGTTTGTGCACAGTCATCCACTGGATAATTCCAGGAACAGCTGGCGTGGCTCTTGCACTGGGGTTACAGAGGTCCACAGGGACCACTTCTTGCCCCAAGGAGGTCTGGAGTTCTGGGGGGCCCTTGCCAGAAACACGCTTCACACACTGACGGGTTCTGTCTTCACCCAGGGTCCCCATGAGCAAAATTACCCATGAGAAAAGTAAGGTGACGGGACATGCTGCCGAAGTGAGTCACTACTACCTTCTTCCCCTGGGCTCTGCAGGGGTGAGGGTGGCAACGAAAACAAGGGTCAGAGGGGATGGCGCTGAACTTGGGCCTCTGCACTCCCGGGAGTGCCCGTACTTCAGGGATGTAGAGGTTTCCGTGCAGAGGCACACAGGGGGCTCCTGGACCTGGGATGCTTTCTGAGGGTTCGGAAAGGGAACAGTCTCCCCCTTCCGCGTGGTGGTGAGTGCGTCTGTAACCTTCTATTACTGCAGGGCTTTCTGACTGCGGAAGATTTGTTTTCCAGAGTCGTTTCCAAAGAACCAGGCAGAGCAAACAAGACAGTCATCCTGAGAATACTCACATTTTGACCTTTTCGAAAACTTTTTGGATGGCCTATTTTGGGTTCCAGTTTCTAACCTCAAAAAGCTCATGGAGCAAGTTACGGCATATTCAAAATCAGGGACTTTGAAATGATGTCAATGAGGGTCTCAGGAGTGGATATGGGAGAGTGACCAGGAGAGACAACTCCGCCCCTGCGCGACCGTGGGACTGTGTTTTGGCCCCTGGGTATATACCTTGAAGGTCATCGTTAGATTTCACTTGACAAAAGATTCTCCTCCTCAAGGAAAGAAAAAAAAATTGCTAAAAAAATATATATTCTAGATTAATGTGCTGCCAGAGGATTGACAGAAATCCAGAATAAATTAGCAACAGAATTGCTTTTAGCCATAGGATTCTTTTTTCCCCAAATAAAAAATTAAAAAGAGTAAACATTTTTTTGGAGTTTGAATAAAATTTCAGTATTCATTATGGGAATGTGAATCAGTTATTACCCCACAGAAAAAGATAAGAAATAAATATGGTGGCAAGAATCTTATTCAAAAACAACTAAGGAGAGGTATGTTCATGTAAAAATAATTATTCTTTGGGTTATAAATATAGTATAATAAATTTTTATTGTGGAAAAATTTGGATTACAGAGAAGTATTTTTTTGAAATCCTCACCAGGGGATGTGTTTATTGATTTTAGAGAGAGGGGAAGGGAGGGAGAGAAACTCCAGTGTGAGAGAGAAACATCGATCAGTTGCGCCCTGTACCTGCCCAGCCCAGGACCAAACCTGCAACCCAGGCATGTGCCCTGGCCAGGGATTGAACCTGCTTCCCTTTCTCCGTTTATGGGCCAATACTCTAACCAACCAAGCCACGCCAGCCAGGGCCACAGAGAAGTATTTTCAAAGTAATATCAAATGATCTGTAGGCCCCTTATTTGTCTGTTCATGGATGCATGGATGTAGGAATATAACTGATGATGAATATACCTTTTTGGCCTGTGTATTCAAATTAATATTGTCTTGGGCAGTTACTATGCTTTTTTGTTTTGTTTTACTTTTAATTTTTACTTAAGGAGGAAATAAAAAAGACAGAATTGAAGCAAACTGTCATTGATCTAAAATTTTAGGAAGTGGGAAACAGGGACTTCAACTCTTCACAAATTCCTTCACTTTTCCGTTCAGACAATCCCAGGTAGCAGGTAGTATTTGGCTTGAAGCCAATGTTTTCTTGGAGGCCCTAGGCCTCTGGAAGTCCAATCCAGTCTATTTTAGGGTTATCACCCCCAATGGTTTACGCCCGCTTTCCTAATTTCTTTTTCCATTATCTCATAAAGCAAACAGTTACAAAATAAATAAAAGGCTATTTCACTGTGAGAACAAAGGCCAAATAAGTTAGAAAATAATTGTCTTAATGAACTGCTAAGCCTAAATTAGACTTCTTGATATAAACTAAAATCAAATGCCCATGGCTTGTGATAGATTAATGACTATTGCACATATTAAGCAAAAGTTTATCTAGTCTGTTTATGAGCTAAAAAAAGGCAAGATTTCCCAACCAGAGGCTAGAGGAAATGAGTTTGGGTGGGGGCGGGGGGAGTGGGTAGATTCATATAATGCTTAGTGTGAAGGTGTACTAGGATTTTCTCCAAATATATCTTAGATTAAGTACCATAGAATTGCTAGATCTATTTAAAGTTCACAGCTACTTCAAGTAAACACACTGGGATGAGAAACAATCTGTCACAATGCAGAGCAAATTTAAGGAATTAAAAAGAGCCCAGTGGAGTCCTGGCCAGTGTGGCCCAGTTGGTTAGAGAGTTGTTCTGTACACAAAAAAGCCGCAGGTTCAATTCCTGCTCAGGGTACGTACCTAGGTTATGTTAGGCCCAGAATTAGATAAAAGTAACCAAGAGGAACCCGAGGCAGGCTCCAGACTGACTCAGCAAGGAAAATAGAAAGTACAGAAAGTACAAAGAGTGCTGAACAAGGTAACCGCCTTGTGCATGACCTTGTCTTTGCAGAAAAGTATCCACTGTTGCAAGCAGAGAACATAGCCATGTATGTTTCCTCGAGATAGCCAATAGCTAACTGCCACGTCTGCTTCCGTATTTGCTTGCTTGCTCACCCCAATAAAAACCCCAGGCTGTAAGCGCCAGGCACGACTCTCATTTGCAGCCTCTTGGCACCGTGTCTCTGGACACCTCGAGAGTTCGCCCCTGCGCAGGTAAAGCTTTGGCCAATAAAGTTCCATCTTAAACTCCTGAAAGCTTCCGACCATTTGTTGCTCGCATTGGTGGATGCCACTGTTACAGGTTTGATCCCTGGTCGGACTACATACGGGAGGCAGCCAATCAATGTTTTCCTCTCACATCTGTTTCTCTCTATATATCCCTTCCTCTCTTCTAAAAATCAATGGGCATATCCTGGGCGAGGATTAAAATATACAGCCCAGCGGTAATCATAATCTAGAAGGATAAAATATTTCTTCTCCAACCCACATGTCCATCACTGGCAAGTAGATAAAAAAGCTATGGTCCACATATACAATGAAATATTACTTGGTCACAGAAAAGAATGAAATCTTACCATTCACAATAGCATGGATGGACCTACAGGATATTATGCTAAATGACATAGTCAGAGAAGGACAAATACCGTATGATTTCACATATATGTAAAATCTAAAGAACAAAATAAACAGAAGAACAAAATAGACTCATAGATGCAGAGAACAGACTAATGGTTGCCAAAGCAGGGTACACTGGGGGACTGAGCAGAAAGAGGTGACAGATTGAGAAGTATAGATTGGCAGGTACAGAATCGTCATGGGGATGTGAAGGACAGCACAGGGAATACAGTCAGTAATATCATCATAACTGTGTATGGTGCCAGGTAGGTACCGGAAATATCAGGGGGAACACTTTGTAAAACATCCGATTGTCCAAACACTATATTGCACACCTGAAACCAACACAAAATAATGTTGAATGTAAACTGCAATTGAAAAATAAAATAAAAAAGATTTCTTCTCTAGCTCCTTTGAGCTAATGCTCATTTTCTCCATCTCTTCTGTCTTTCCTCTGTCTCAGTAGCTTTTCCCTCAACTAGATTATCCTCCATCCTGCCCCTGAAACCAAGTGAGCATGGTCTACTCTTAATTATCACATGACTTTAGTTTTAGCTTCATGTCTTCCCTAAGCGCCCCCAGGGCGGGGCTGCCTGTGCTCCCGTTTGCTCAGAAAGTGGTCTCCACTCCCATGACAATGCGTTCAAGTTGCCTTTGCAGGTGCCTCCCCCTGGAGACTGCCCATATCTGAGCAACGTCGTTTGCCCCAGCATCCGGGAAAATCCTGCTCATTGAGCAGGTGCTCCACGATATTTCTTAAGTAAGTGAATAAACACGTGATACCAAATAAATAGAATGGAACAAATAGGAAAGGAAGTCTCACCTCACTGGGGTGTTGCCGTTATAATCACTGCACGCACCTTTGCCAATTCTTTTCTGTGCAACAACCTGGGCCGTTACGCTTCACGTGACCAGGTGAATTCCACTTGGTCAGCTGTAATCGCTAAAACCTCACCTGCTGTCAAACACACTGTTTAGTCTCTGTGTGTTATACAAGAGAACGAAGGCCCCTGGCTTACTGTGTTTCTTTTGGCTAAATGATCGTTAAGGGTTAATGACCTAATGCCTTGCTTCAGACCAAAAACTATTTCTAATCGGTCATTAGTCTGACTCTACATGGCCTGAAACTCCATGATTATTGCTTAATTTAAGCACAAACTACTCTGCAAGTGGAACATGGCCTATCTCTGCCCTTCAAGCATAATGAACACAGATTTTCAGTGAACTTAATCACTTGTTTACGTATGAGTTCGTTCTTGGCAATAACAGAAGTTGTTTCCTTGGCTTTTAGAAAAATGCAAACATGGTATTCTAAGTCAAATCATGTTGCTTATTTCTTCATGATCAACATCATTATATTTGATTATTTCTTAAAGTTATAAATTGCATAACATTTTATTTCAATATTCTGCAATGTTACTCTCTATTCACCTTTTCTCTCTCAGCATAAATCTAATTAATTGCTTGAAATATATAATAGCAATTGTCTAATGACAGTGTGACTCATGCTTCTTCAGGCAACTTGATACTGTATGATTTCAGAAATACCTGACATCTCTTATATTAGTAACAGTAAATACATCATGGATTTTCCCGAAGTTTGGCTTTACAGATCTTTACGGCAGCACCGAACTCAGTTGTACTGTTCCAGCCTACTTGATAATTTCCTGATTAGACCACTCCCTGGTTGGAGGAACCAAAGAAAAATGATGAAGTCTGCCAGAGGCCAATGGACTGTGTATTTCTTCCAAAATTCTATGTTTTTCAATAGCTTGTGGGTCTTTTTTTCTGATAAAATAAACAATTTAGACTAACAAGCCACTCATTGATCTTTGACCTTTTCAGCCAGATCAAAAGCATCTTAAAAGCCAATTAGTGGAAATGTAGAGAAAAGGTCATTTTATTATAGCACTCAACATTGGAACCATAATATTTTACATAGATTCAAATTATCCCATGGCTTTCATTAGAAACGTAGAAAGACTCAATCCCACAGCAGGTAAATATTTTGCATGCACACATGACTCCATGCTCTCTCCTCCTGGAGGCCCTCACCTCTCCAGCACAGCCGACACACACAGCCTCCAGGAAACCCCCCCGATGATCTGTTTTGATGGACAACAGGGATAGCACTGATAAATGATGTCTATTGATAATCCCCAAGCATCGTTTTAGCCACTGGCTTTAATTGCTTTCTCCAAACAGCCCTTTCCCAGACTATTTCAGAAGTATTGCATAGATTAAACACTGGCTTCTTCCCCTCCCTCCCTTTTCTTCTCTGATAGTGTTGGTTTTAGGCAGGACAAAACAGAGAAAAGGGAGAAAGTCAAGGACTCAGCTGGCTGCAGAACTGAAAATGAGCCCTCAGAAATAGAAACAAATATTTTATGAAAACAATTCGTCAATATATTTGCAATGACATTTCTAAAAATCAAATGTTTCAGGAAACATCCCTTCATTCATTCATTTTTCTGACTTGACTTGAGGATTTCCAGTTTGCAAGGCCCTGGGCAAGATATACTTTGGAATATATAACAATACAAAAGATATGGTTATTGTCTTTAGAAAATTATAGTCTACCAAACGGTGTCACAATCTGGTAAATCCTTTGGTATCCTGTGCTGGGGTATAACATCTTTCTGCCAGTTTAACAAGAAATGGTAGAAGTCATTTTGATTTTGGTAGCCGACATTTTCCTGTGGTACAGAGAACCAATTTACCTTATTTTAAAAATGAGAGTATCTAATTTTTCTCCAAGAAAGACATTATCTTTATATGTATGGCAGAAAAGTAAACAAGTATACAAAAAAACCACCCTGGAGTAAAAGCTTAACTATATCCTAAAATGAAGCATAACACTCTAAAGCTATAATCTGAAAAATATGTGGAACTGGCAGAATAAGTCTCCAAGGTCACTTGTAACATGCAAGTATCAGGTATTGAAAACTGTACTAGACTTTGATTTCTGAGCAGGAATTTCCAGTCTTTTCCTGAATGCTCTTGCTTTAAAGTACAAGCAGACCACATTCATCAAAACCAGATGCTGATGTCTCTCTGCTCAGTTTCACTTATCAATATCAAGTTTGAAAGATACAAAACAGTTTCGTAAAAAATGGACTATGCCTGCGGTCAGGTCGCATTCACCAGGGCTGACATGAACCAAGGTCCATAATGCCTTTGAAACAAAACAAAAACAGAGACAAAAAAACAAAAAGGTCATTGAATCCACGTATTTCCCTCCAATTTTTTTTGAATTTGAAAATTATTTGCTCAAAAAATTTCACATACATGTGCAGCACTCACACACACACATTTGTGCTAAGGTCTGCAAAATACTGGGCCAGGAGAGAAGCCAAATTCCTGATCTGGTTGTGTGTCCCTGCTGTGCCTGGAGGAGCGGCCCTTCAAACTCTTGGTATCTTGGGCAGCCAGTGGGCCGGTATGATGCAGGCGTGCAGTCGGCTATGGTGTTGCCACTCCCACCGTCCTGAGTGGATAGGGCAAACCACACATTACAGCCTCACAGCTAGTACCACTGCGTTGGAAGAATCAGGACCGTATTGTACACTTACGTCTGCGAGAGAATAACAGTCTTTGAGGCCCTGTGAGGTCCTTATTTGGGGATCCAAAATTCTAATGACATACCATTTTCTCTAGCTGCATCTGAAACTCTCTATAAAAAGCTTCCCTTTTCTCTTAGAAAGTAGTACTGATGGCAATACAAAATTGTATAGTTTTTAAATGCATTTGCATACTCATTTTAGTTTATAAAATAAAATTTACTGTAACTACAGAAATTCCAAGAGACAAGTAATTTGAAAACTTCACAAATCCACATATAGTTATGGAATTATCAAAAATGCCAACTAGATGGTAATATTCTGCTATAAAATATAACAGCAGGTAGCATAACTGAATATTACATCTGTATTAAATGTGAGCACCAATATTAAATGTGATCTAAACACTGTTTGGAATTTTAATCTTAGAAAGACGCTCAGGTGCCATGTTCGGCAGTAAATGCGTAATGAAACAACCAGCAACTCTGCCTTCGGAGAGTTTACGGCCCGCAAACTTACAGCACATACAGCTCGCCAACATACTCTAAACAAACACGTACACAAACAAGTAAATAATTAAGATGGTAAGATGTGCGATGAAGAGGGCATACTAGGATTCATCGAATTTTGTAAGTTAATTGCAAAGTACCAACTTGACTGGGCTACAAGGTGCTTAGATATTTGGATAAGCATTACCCTGGGTGTGTTTCTGGATGAGGTTAACATCTGAATTGGTAAATTTAATGAATAAAGCAGGTTGCTCTCCCTGATGTGGGTAGACCTCATTCAATCAGCTGAAGGCTGAATCAAAGAAATAGGCTGACTAAGAGAAAACCCTTCCTGCTTGAGAAGCTTTGAACTGAGACATCGGTTTTTTCTTGTCCTGAGTCAGCCTGAAAAATTACCTTTTCCGGGGTCTCAAGCCTGTGGACATTGGCACCGAAAGTGCACTCTTAGCTCTCCCGGGTGTCCAGCCTGCCGATAGCAGGTCTTGGGACTTGGCTATCACCACAATCCCATGAGCCAGTTCTTTATAATAAATCTATCTCTCTATCCATAGTTATGAAAATAAATATTTATAAATACACACATTTTATTAGTTCTGTTTTTCTGGGGAATTCTTGAGTAATACAGATGGTGTGCTTTTCATCGAAAAATCTCATTGAAATGAAGATCTGAACTGTGATAGAGAAAGTAGGCCTGTACTTATGCCCCTGCCTCAGACAGCGAGAGAACTGGAAAGAGTGTATGGAACAATGGTTAGCAGACCCTAAGGCAACAGGAATACTGTGCTGTAATCCCGGAGAGAAAGAAGAAAACAAGGTAAACTCCAGGCCTGCCTTGGCTCTCTGCCTGGAGGCATGTTTGTATCCAAGGCTTAAACTGAGGGATCTCAAGCAGAACGTGGGTGTGTTGCTGATTTGAGAAGCTAAAGATAGAAGTTCAAAGAGCCTGAAGCAAAAGATTTGGGGGAGCAGAGTATTGAAAGGTGGGAGACATCCATGGTAGAATTCAGGAGCTCTTCTTAGGGGTCATCTTAAGCCTTTGGCTGAATATTAAGGCATATATACACGGTGTGAAAGTGGTCAGTCTGGGCGAAGAATAACCAGGGGTTTGTGAGCTGAATAATTCCCAGACATTATTCACGAGACATAAATGTACAAACACCCAAAGGGGAGAGTCTTCTTTAACACTTGAGAAATTCAGTAGAGAGCCCAGAAATGTCACGCTCAGGTAAGAAGCCTAAACTAGCACTAGAGTAGCCGTCATTAATCTTAGTAACACGTCTTTAAAAGACCAAAATTATCATAAAGTTAACTGAACTGCCTGAAGAACAAAACCCAACAGTCTTTAACAGAAGGCAAAACACTCCATAGTCACCAATGTGACACTGACAAGGCCTAGAATCCAATAAAAAGACTTCTAGATCTAGGTGTGAGGAAAAAAAAAACACCAGGAAGATATGATGCACATTTGAGAGAGAGAAATTAGTGGGACGGAACAGTCTCAGAAATGACAGACATAGTGGAATCAGCAGGGAAGAACTTTAAAAATGTAATATCTAAAATGAAAATTTAACTGCAGGGGATTAACAGCATATTAGACACTTAGAAGAAAATATCAGAGAGTTTGAACACTGATATTTAAGCACAAACTGAAACACTTGAATTGAAACTAACAGGTCCTCTGTAACCTGCAAGAAAATGTCAAGTAGTTTGGCATCTATGTAACGGTAATCTTGAAAAGAAGGGTACGGGAAGAGAAGAGAAAAATGTTTAGGGAGTAGCTGAAAATTGTCCAAATAAAAAGTATAAACCCA